GGGAATGTGAGAAAGCAAGCCGCCAGGTCCAGGACTCTAACTGGGGTCGGCCATGTGGGAGTCCAGAGCCCTTAACCACCATGCCACCTGCCAGCCTCAATCCTGTATACCTTTTAATTTTAGCATTTAGAATACTCACCATCAACTGTTGCTAGTTTCAGTGCAGCTACAAATTCATCTTTCTTTAAATTGCTATTCATACCAGACAGAGTGTTCCATAGATCAGAAACATCCATCTTCTCCTTGCTGAGATTGTGGAAATTTTCTACAGCATCAGACAATACTAAAGGGTAAGCAAAATATAAGTTTAACAATATGCTTAACCACAGAGTTAATACAGTAAAATACTATCTGAAATAGCCAAGAATTAAGGTTTTTATAGTTAAGAAGATAACAAACATAATATAAATGAATTACCAATTTTCAAATATTAAAACTCAAAAAGAGATCAGCAGGTGGCAGGGTGGTTAAGGTGCTAGCCTCCCACATGGCCAACCATGGTTCGAGTTCCAGATCTAGCAACTTGCTTTCTCACTTTCCATCTCTCTTTCTCTCTGGTCAAATTAAAATAATAACAACAGGGGAACCAGTTGGTGTAATGGCTATGTCACTGGACTCCCACGTAGTCTACCGCAGTTAAAGTCCTGGACCCCGCGGGTTTACGCCGGGCGCGTGTGCATGCATGCCCAAGATCCTGAGAGGAGAATGGAGGAAAAGGGACTGCGGTGCGACCATCCCCCCTGGGGGGGGTGATTTCTCGTTTTCTATCTCTCTGTCTCTCTCTGTCTTTCTGGCGAGCGCATGCACCCTATAGCGAAAACCTCTCAAAAAAAAGTAATAATAACAACAATAATAAAGTTAAATTAAAATAATTATTTTAAAAATTCGACAAAATATTTAATATCCAACTTAATTTATCTTTGAAGACACTGAAAATTTTCAGGAGCTTATTGTGTTACCACCCCTGAATAATCATTATAAACAATAATTTTCATTAAACTGTAGATTTATACCTCTAAATTCACAAACATCTGTAAATGAAACACTGAATTAAATAGTTCTTGTTCTATACCTCCTCCAAAAATTGTTCCCTGACTTCTACTTCCTCTTCAATCTATCAGTGCATTCAATGGAAAAAACTTTTGTTTTTATTAAAATTTCAATAATTTCAATTTAAAAAAACCTTTTTAGGGTTTCGGGGTGTTTTTAGATGTTTGCCATAGAGCATGTGCACTTTCTGGAAAGGCAGAGAGAGAGAGAAAGTAAGAAATCACCCCTCTGGGGAGATGGCCATGCCACAATCCCTTCTCCATTCTCCTTGCAGGATTTTGCACATGAACACACGTGTCCATCATGTTTTTCAAGCTGCTGTGTCCAGGACTTGAACCATGGAATCAGCCATGTGGGACCCATTATCTTAACCACTATACCACCTTTACTCCATTAAAAATACACACACATGGGAACCAGCAGTTAGCGTAATGGCTATGTCGCTGGACTCCCACGTAGTCGACCGCGGTTCGTGTCCCGGACCCGGTGGCTTAAAACTCGCGCTGGGCGCGTGTGCGTACATGCCCAGGATCCCGAGAGGAGAATGGAGGAGAAGGGATTGCGGCGTGACCATCCCCCCTGGGGGGTGATTTCTCGCTTTCTGTCTCTATGTCTCTCTCTCTGTCTGTCTGGTGAGCGCACGCGCCCTGTAGCAAAAACCTCTCCAAAAAAAAAAGATAAAAATACACATGACCTTACATATATGGTGAACTTCTTCGTGTAGGAACTATCTTCTTCGTGTTAGCATATTTACAGCCTAACATAAAAAGCCTGGTACGTACTAATGGCTCATAAACATATGGAATAAATTGGAAGCTAGAAAGAGATGAAACAACTAAAACCAAAAATTCTGCATATTAGTATCCGAGCCACTAGATGGCACTACTTTCCCAAAGTGGGAAGATAATTTTAAATCCTAACCTAAAATGAATCTGATATTCTCAGACACGGCCCTAGCTTTCTAAAAGTGTGCAAATGAAAAGTAAGATTATAATGGTTTGCAATTCATTTGTATGTGGTATTCATTCCAGAGTTAGGAGTCAGCAATGGAGAAGATGAAGACCAAACACAGCAGCAGAAAGCAAGGCATTTATTTGCCTAATAGACTGTGGGATGACTAGCTCTCTCAGTATCTTTCCCTTAAAAAAAAAAAAAAAAAGTCAAACCATTTGATCCACAAAATCACAAAACATAATGTTCTTACTTACATAATTTTTCAGAAAAGCGTTCTGTGTTGGTCATCATTGTATCGACAAGTTCTTTAAAATTCACTTTTTTGATTTCTAAAGAGAAAAGAAACACATTTTCTTCAGTATCTTTAAGTATTAAATTATCATGACAAGAATTGAATTATATGAAGTAAGTTATATATTCAGGGAGATAGAATATCCAGCAGGTAACAGCAACCACTAAATATGATATAAGTATAAAGGGAAAAGCAATTCAACTTACAGACAAATAATAAACACTAAAAAATACCCCCAAAAAATCAAAATTCTTCTAGTGCCTCGTAAGTGTATAATAGTATAATATTTTAAACTTTACTATACATTATCTTGTCGGTTTCACAACAAATCAGTGAGAATATGTTGGTGAAGTATTAGTGTATTATTTTATAGATCACTAATAACGTTTATACATTTTTCCCCAAGATCACAGAAAAAAATGAAAGATCAGAGTTTAGAAGCGAGCTCTCTCAATCCCTGGTCCCTTAAACATCAGGCTACCATTTATACTAAAATCCTTATTCCAATATAGTATTGAACCCATTAGACATTTTAATAGTCACTTTATACCTACAAAATATATTTCCTTAATTATATATAATTATATATCCAACATTATAATGAATTTCTAAAATTTTAAGAATTTTCTAAGGCCACATATAAAGGCTTTATACAGATAGGATGAGCTTTTTATAACCTTAGCCCTTTGTTCAACCCATTAAGAAAACAAAAATCTAACACAACTGCAAAAGGTAAGTCTCAGCCTAGTTCCCATTCCTATATATATATATGTATTTGTTATTTATTTTTTGCTATAGGGTGCATGCACTCACCAGAGAGACAGGGAGGGGAAGGAGGAAGAAATCACTCCCCCAGGGGGAACAACCACACTGTAATCCCTCCTCTCTACACCTCTCAGGATTTAGGGCATGCACGCACATGCGATCGGCATGATTTTCAAGTCACCGAGTCTGGGACTCAAACTGCAAAGTTGATGTGGGATCCAATGCCTTAACATCCATGCTACCTACTGACTCCAATATTGTATTTCTAAGAAACATTTGCATTGTTCTGTATGTCTATAGTTCATTTTCACTGGTGTATAATTTTCCATTATATGAATACATCAATGATGTATATAACAATTAATTTATACATTCTGTGACTGAACATGTTGTTTCCCTCCCCCCCCCTTTTTTTAATAGTTAAAATTGATGTTGTGGGGCTGGAAGGTGGCATGGTGGTTAAGGGTACTAGACTCCCACATGGCCGACCATGGTTCAAATCCCAGACCTGGTGGCTTGTTTTCCTCCCTCTCTCTTTCCCACTTATCCCTCTCTGGTCAAATTAATAAATGGATAAATAAAGTAAAATAAAGTAATTCTGTAAAAAAAAAAAAAAAAGAAAGAAAAAAGATTGATGCTGCTATAAACATTCTTAAACATATCTTCTGCTATATAAGTAGAAGATATTTTCTGGGATTTGTAGATATGAGGAGAATTTTTACACAATTAGTAATGAAAACTTTACAAGACATTACATTTTGCTTTCCAAAGTAGTATTTAGCACTTTCATCATATTTACCAATACTTAGACTGATTTCCTAATTTTTGCCAGCTTAGGGGTATAAAAAAGTATTTCACTGTGACTTAAATTTTTCATTTCCCTGATTACTAATGATGTTAAGAATCTTTTCATATGATTGCTAGCAACTTGTGTCTTCATCTAGAAGTAGCTGTTCTTGTAATTCAGTCATTTTGCTATTGGACTGTTAATCTATAGACATTTCCTAGATATTCTCTGCAATAAACATTGTCAGTGAGTCATAAATAATCACTCAGTTTTTGTGGCTTATATTTATTATTTTGGGTATTTTTTTTTTAAGAGAGAGATTTTTGCAATAGGACGCGTGTGCTTGCTGGAGACACAGAGAGACTGAGAGACATAGTGAGAAATCACCCCTCTCCCCCAGTGGGGATAGCCATGCTGCAATCTCTTCCTCTCCATTCTCCTCTCATGATTTGGGGCATGCACGTGCATATGTACCCAGCGTGAATTTGAAACCACTAGGTCAGGCATTCAAACTGCAGCTGTCTCGGTGGGAGTCCAACGCCATAACCACTACACCACTTGCTACCCCCTTTGTGATATATCTTTTCTTTTTTTTAAGAGAGATTTTTGCCATAGTATGCATGTGAACTCGAACCACAGTCGGTCATGTGGGAGTCCAGTGCCCCACTACACCACCTGCCAACCCCCCAGTTGGAATAACTAAAAGCTTTTTCATCAGATTGTCAGAAAAGTCATGACACAGTTTTGCATAGAAAATATGTCAAAACTTATCTGATGACCCAGTGTTTTGCTGTTGTCAAATTTACCAGTCTTTTCTAGTTAATGATGCTTTTATATATTAAAAATCCTTCCTAACTCTAACTCAGAAAGTGTTTCTTCTATTTTTTCTAAAACATTTAGTTTTAAAATATAGAAATTATTACCCAATTTGGTGTAAGATAAGAATTCAATGCCATTTCTTTATTTAAATAATTATGTCGGCCATATAAAAAATGGTCTTTTTCTCCCCAGTGATCTGTCACCTTATCGTATATGTTTCTATGCATGTATGGATATGTTTGGAAATTCCTTATCTTTGGCCAATTTCTCTATCCTAGTACTATTCTCATACTGTTTTAATTAGTGTTGATAAAAAAAAGTGTTGATATCCAGGAAAACAAGATCCCTCTCACCACCACACACACACACACACACACACACACACACGGTGACATACATGTTCTTGTTTAAAAGTGTTTTAGGTATTCTTAGCTCTTCATTTATACTAATATTAGAATTAGGTCATCAAAAAATATCAGGGTTGTGGGATCAGCAGATAGCGCTGTGGTTACATTGCTGAACTCTCTCATGGCTGACCACGGTTTGAGTCCCAGACCCAACAGCTTCAAATTCACGCCAGGTATGTGTGTAGGCACGCCCAAAATCCAGAGAGGAGAATGGAGGAGAAGGGGCTGTGAAGTGGTCATCCTCTTGGGGCAGGGGGGTGCTTGCTTTCTGTCTCTCTGTCTCTCCAGAAAGTGTACACACTCTTTAGCAAAAATCTCTCTAAGAAAAAAAAAATCAGTATATATTAGAATTGCTTTGGATAATTATATTAATTACAGAATCAACAGTCTTTGCTCTCTGAATCCCATAGCCATGGAATATTACCATTTATCTAGGCTTTCTTTAATGTCTTAACAAAGTCTTACCATTTTTATACACACACAATTTATATTAGATGTGTTCCTATTTCTTTTTTACTTTTACTATGGAAAACGTAAAACATAAAATTGGTAAAACATTATAATGAATACTCATGTATTATCCCTAGCATCAAAAATTACAAACCCACAGATAGTTTTATTTCACCTAAACCCCACTCACTTGTCCAGCCCACTCTACCTTTTCCCTTTAGAAAAGTTGCTGCTAAGATATATAAACATAGATACTCAAAACTGGTATACCTTCTTGTGAATTGTGTCTTTGGCATAATAAAGAGCCCTTTATTCCATTTAATGCCTTTTGTCCTGGCATGTATTTTGTCAGATAGTAAGATCATGAACACCTGCTTTCTTTTTGTTTGAAAAATGTCTAAAAGACTATCAATACTGGTTATTCTATATCATGAGCTCTTGCACATATTGTTGAACTTTTTAGTATTTTTGTACTACTTTTTTTGGGGGGGAGGGGGGAGAGGTTTTTGCTATAGGGTGTGTGCACTCACCAGAGAGTCAGAGAGACAGAAAGTGAGAAATCACCCCTCAGGGGGGATTGGCCATGCCATAATCCCTTCTCCTCCATTCTCCTCTCAGGATCTTGGGCACACACACACATGCGTCCAGTGTGAATTCAAGCTACCGGGTTCGGGACTCGAACCATGGTCGATTACATGGGAGTCCAGCAACACAGCCATTATGCCAATTGCTGGTCCTATATTTTTGTACTTTCTTTATTGGTTTAATTTTAATAGACTTTCTCTTGTAAAAACAATAAAGTAATTATTCTGAAGAAGGAAAAAAGTAGTAAACTAATCCTTCTTCCAGATGTGACAACTTGGTTTGCCTAAAAATGTATCACTTACCATCAGCTTCTGTCAGCTCTGTAAGCTTCTCAAATTCTGGCTTGGAAAGATAAATTCCAAAATTTTGAAGACAAGTATTTAAGTGCTCAGAATCAACATTTTCATCCTTAATTTTGTCAACAGCATTTATAACATCAGTCAACACTAAAAATAAAACAGTATACTAATAATCATTAAATATTGATCATAAGATGAATTTCAATTCTAACATTAAATTAACAAAAACACAAATCACTTTAGAAATTTCTATACTAAAATGCAAAACCAGAGTCTTTAATAATACTGAAAATCAATAAGTATCAAATTAGAGTCAAAATTACATAATTCTACTTTGCTATAGTCTCTGTACCTAGGAAAGCACCAATTTAATTACTCTAAAATAACACAACAAAAAATACATAGGACACAAGACCAGCAGGTATTGTGGAAGTTAAGGTTCTGGATCCCAACATGGTTGATTGTGCAGTTCAAGTCCTGAGCCCACTGGTTTGAAAAAATTTGACGAGCATATTTGCATGAGTGCCCAAAATCCCGAGGGGAGAATGGAAGAAGAGGGATTGTAGCATGGCCATGCCCCTGGGGGTGATTTTTCACTTTTCCTCTCTCTGTCTCTTCCCAGTGACTGCACACACCCTATGGCAAAAATCTGAAGAGGAATAAAAAAAAAGAGAGAGAGAGAGAACACAAACAGGAACACAAATAGTGTAAAATTTTTCAATTTAATGAAACAATTTTAAATTCCCTAGTAGTTTATTTATCAGCAGTAAAAACTCAAACCCAAATGATAAACTGAGATAAAGTATTAGGGAGATACGTGGTCCAGTCCTTGATAAATTCATCTTAATCTTTCATAAATATAAAAATTATTATTTAGAAATAATTACCCTACAGCTTTTCTTTATAATACTTTGAAATTTATATTTCATAAACTTGGGTAGTATTTCCTCCATTAAATTTAAACTGTTAATTTTTCCTGCAATAGAAACATTTTTAAATTACTTAGCAAACTACAGAACTATTAGGGGAGTTGAATAAGAACTCATGTGATTCAATTCGATAATTTCAAATCATTTGAAGGAAAAGAAATGAAAAAATTGTACTTACACACACACACACACATACACACTCTAGAACAAATCAAACTCAAATAGGTTTTCTCTAGTAGTCCATTAGGATAGGTAAAAAAAGCTAAGTAGTAGTAGAGGGCATTAAGTCCATTTTAACTAGTTAATTCTCTTGTAGCAGCCACTGAAAATCATTATGAATTACTAAACGAATTGATTATGAAAATGTCTGAATTTGATGATTCTTAAAAAGATTCTTTAAAAGATGTTTTTATGTAAAAATAGTGCAAGATACATGCTCCTGTCTTGCAAACAAAATGTTAAAGTGAAATAAATTCTGATTTAAAAGTTAAAATTACTTTTTAAAGCTTACTTATTTATTGACAGAGAGAGAGAAAGAAAGATAGGTACCCTTGACAAGGTCTCACCACATCATGATCCCCACCCCCTCAGACTTCTAGCCAGCCAGGATTTTGGGTACACCATGAGCACTCTTGGTGTTTTAAGGTTAACTCAAATCCAAATGCAAACCCAAGGCTGGCTCCATGGAGTATCAGTAATGTGCTGCACAAGAGAAGCTGGATCCAACATCGCAATGTGGTTCAAATCTCTGGTCTGGTCAGCCAAAAACACACCAGGCATGTGTCAGAGTACTCAAGATACCACAGGCTGCAGAATTGGAGGACAGGGATCTCTTTGTCTCTCCTTCTTTCTCTCTCTTGTGTGTACTCATGGGCTCTATCATGAATTTAAAAAATAATAATAAATCACTACAAGCAAAACAAAGAAGAGAAAAAAATAAGATTATAGTGATAGTTGTACAATCCTAAGAATTTAATAAGAATCAGTGGATTGGCAATTTTATACACATAAATTATACCTTGATAAAACTGTTTTTTTCTTGGACAGGTTTTTGCTATAGGGTGTATGCTCTCACCAGAAAGACACAGAGACAGAAAGTGAGAAATCACACCCCAGGGGGGATGGCCACACCACAATCCCTTCTCCTCCATCCTCCTCTCGGGATCTTGGGTACACACGCACACGCGCCCAGCATGAGTTTAAGCCACTGGGTCCGGGACTTAAACCACAGTTGACTACATGAGAGTCCAACGACATAGCAGTTACACCAGCTGTGGTCCCTTGAATAAACATTTTTAAAAACGGTCTCAAAGGTTAATCAATCCAGTCTTTAATTCAAACAAGTTCCTTAACCCTCTCAAAAAAATCAAAAACAAAATCACCCACTAAATCCTTATCCATGGTGCCAATTATGTATTTGATCTCCTCATAAACCTTGGTATTATTGTACATTTATGCAGCACTTTTCACTTTGTAAAATACAAATGACAACTCTTTGAGGTAAGCAAATTCACGATTATTACCCGTTATAACATATTTTTTAAATAGGCAATCCACTTGTCTAAGTCACAGCACTATTCAGCATCTATTCAAAAGCAAACCCAATACTATTGAGTCTAATTCCTCTCAGCCTAATTGCTCTTTCTTCCAAATCATTTTAAAACAAGTTTTCTACCTACCATTGTATTCAGGAAGACTTCGTTCCTTGTAGAGAGCACTTATAAAGTCATCTAACTTCACCATTCCATTTTCTGTTAAATAAAGAGATTAGATTATACATTCTGTTGTATTTTTCATAAAACATAAATTTATAATTTAACACAATTATGAAGAAAACTTACTTAATCATACTTGAGGGATCAACTTCATATCCTATCTTCTAATATGATTCTTAATAAATTAGGTAAGTTCATTTCTTTTCACAATTAAGAGCATAGTAATGCAAAAAATATGCTAGGCACCAAGGATACAAAAATAAGTAAGACAAAGTCCTTGCCTTTTCAATATCTATTCATGCAAACCACTGAGTAGATACTAAGTTCTTGATATAGTAAAAATGAAAGGTGTCCATATAGATGGGCCATGAGAACATTAAGGAGTCTATTTCATACCATCATGAAAACCCACAAAATATGTATTCTATTGTCACTGTAACAATACTCACCAGCCTTGACAGACTCAAGGATACCCATCCTTATCCCTAGTATCCATAATCCATGTGTTCCAATTAACTACTGGGCTATTGAGAAAGTCATGACACATTTTTGCATAAAAAGATAACATCGTGACTTTCCTGACAACCTAATACATATTTTTAAATATAAATCCTCCAAAATAATCATACTAATCCTAATAAGAAGCAAAAAGTAATTTAGTTGCCTCTCTCTAGAAGAAATTCAGCTTAGTTGTTGATAAAAACAACTTCTCTAATTTAAAAAAAAAATAAATCCTCCCTTGAAACTTAAACTTTGCTTTGAATTTAGAGGGCTGATTGGGATATATGCCACACAGCATTTAAATACTGTCTGCCTTGATTGCTTAAGAATCATCAACTGGAGACCAGCAGTTAGCATAATGGCTATGTCGCTAGACTCCCATGTAGTCGACCACAGTTTGAGTTCTGGACCCCGGCAGTTTAAACTCACACCAGGCACATGTGCGTGCGTGCCCAAGATCCTGAGAGGAGGATGGAGGAGAATGGATTGCAGCGTGGCCATCCCCCCTGGAGGGTGATTTCTCATTTTCTGTCTCTCTATCTCTCTCTCTGTCTTTCTGGTGAGCGCATGCGCCCTATAGAAAGAAAGAAAAAAAAAACCTCTCCTCCCCGCCCCCCAAAAAAGAATCACCAGCTGGCCGGGGAGGCAGCAGATGGCATGGTAGTTAAGGTGCTGGACACTCCCACATGGCTGACCACAGTTCAAGTCCCAGAACTGGTGGCTTGTTTTCTCACTTTCCTTCTCTCTTTGTGTGTGTCTCTCTCTGGTCAAATTAAAATAAATGAGTAAATAAATAAAACGAAATAAATAATACTTTAAAAAAATTACCAACTCGGGGCCAACAGATGATGTAGTGATTACATCACTGGACTCCCACATGGCCAACCACAGTTTGAGTCCTGGACCTGGTAGCTTGAAACTAACGCCAGGTGCATGTGCATGTGTTTCCAAGATACCAGGAGCAGAATAGGGAAGGGATTGTGGAATGGCCATCCCCCCCCCCCAGAGGTGATTTCTCACTTTCCCTCTCACTCTCTCTCTCTCTCTCACTCTGGAGAGCGCACGCAGCCTAAGGCAAAAACCACTATTAAAAAAAAAAAAAAAAAAAAAAAAGACAGAAAAGAATCACCAGCTCTAAATTACCTTTATCTTTTGGAATGTCCAATTATTTCTCCTCAGATCCCTAGGCTATTTACTTAGAAATTTTATACCCCTTGGATGTGTTGTTTTAGAGCCTGAACCTCTCTATAACCAGATCAGCCTCTCCCAATGCCTGACCTATCTAAGAAGACATACCTAGAGATAGTGATAAAGAGCCTTACTGGAACAATTTTGAAATATAAAAAGCCTTGCCCCTCCAAACCAATATGTTAGGTCAAAACTTCCAGAATTTTTTTTTCTTTTTACTTTCTTAATATTTTTAAAGAATTATTATTTATTTAACTTAATTATCATTTTTATTATTTTTAAAAATTTTCTACAGAACACATATGCTCACCAGAGACAGAGTGAGAGAGAGAGAGGGGGAAAGAGAGAAAGCAAGCAGCCAGGTCCAGGACTTGAACCACAATCAGTCATGTGGGAAATTCAGCACCCTAACCACTATGCCACCTGCTGGCCCAACTTCTTTAGATTTTTAAATCTGCTCTTCTGAATCTTCTTCAAAATAGCCTATTTTGGGGCTAGCCATGGGTAGTAGTTAAGATGGTTGGATCTCACATGACCAACTGTACAGTTACAGTCCTGGACTTAGCAGCTTGTTTTATGTGCCCATATCCTGAAAGGAGAGCGAAATGGAAGAGAAAGGATTATAGTGTAACCATTTCCAATGGGGGTGGGGGGTGAGGGGACAATGCTTTCTCACTTTCCCTCTCTCTACTGCAAGCTGGCAAAGCAGAAAGGAAGGAAAGAAAGAAAAACGGAGGGAGGCCCATTCTATCCCATTTCTAGCTGAGAGAAATTTTTCCAGTTTTCTCACATCTTTTTTTTTTTCTTTTCTGAGAGAGGATGTATATTTTTACTGGGGGGTCGGGGGGGAGGAGGGAAGCGTCCCTCATAGAGAATGGTCATGCTACAATCCCTTCTCGATCTCTTACTCCTTTCGATATTTTGGGCACACACACACTGGTATGTTTCTGAAGCTGCCTAGTTCTGGACTCGAACTACGAGGTTGGTCATGTGGGATCTGGCTGCCTCAACTACTAGGCCATGGATCTGGACTCCAACATGTAATACTATCCCATAAATATCTAATTTTCTCCATAAGGTTAGTAGTATCAGTCTCTCACCATTTTTAGTAGTATCTTTCACAATCTTCTGGAACTCTTTATCTGATAAAGAAATTCCTACTGAAGGCAAAAGGGACTGAAGTTCTTCTGCAACAATATAATTTTCTTGAAGTTTACTGATAGCTTCACAGGCATTTTCTATATAAATATACAAAATGTAGAAAACTATTAAGCAACAGAATTTATGTGTCTAAAGCAATTAATTGGTATCTAAAAATTTTATCTAGTAATCAGATAACAAATATAGGTACTAATATTTCCTTATAGAAGGTCTGCTTTTCTCTCCACCTGCTATTGTGTCTTAATTATACTTTATTTCAAACACAAAACTGTCTTAAAGTTCTATAGACATTTATAAACTACTTGTTTGGAGAAACAGCCTGTTATAGTGACACAGCCAACACAGCTTGCTTCTGATTAAAAATAATCAAGAACTCCAAGAGATGAAACACCAGTGTGTTTTATTTAGATTCTAGAATTCCAAGCAAAAATGGAGAGTTCTACCCCTTCCCATCAATTTAGCCTACCATGCTTTTGATTAACAATTTTTGAATATAAAATCCTAGAAGCAGACACAGAAGAATCACAAAGGCCTCTTACCATGACACACCGAGATGAGCACAATATTACTTCTGTAGTATTGTGACCAAAAACCTGAATTTGTTTATGAAGAAATGTAAGAAAAATCCAAAATGAAGGGCAGCATACTAAATAACAGTCAGTATTAAGCATACGTGACAACTAAATGTATCGTGTATGATCCTGGGTCAAATACTGGCAGAAAAAGGGCATTCATGGGATAACTGACAAAATTTGTATGAGTTCTGTAAATTAGTAAGCAGTATTGTATTACAATTAATTTCCTGGTTTGGATCATTGTTACGGAAGTTATTAAGATCTGAACACTTGGAAAACCAGACGCAGAATATAAAGAAATGTTTTTAGTACTTTTGCAATTCTTATGAGTATAAAATTATTTCTAAATGAAAACTTAGGAAAAAATGCTTTAATTTAAATAATGGAGGCATTCATATATCCCAGATGCCCAATCAATTACCATCAATTTTTCTGGGGGAATTTCTATCAAATACACTGTTTTATACATCTCTATAAGCAGAACATGAAGTATGACAGTGGTAAGTGGCATTATTTGAGTTTAGTAACAGCAGGAAGGTACATGTCACTTTCTTCTGAAGGCCTCTTCTACCCATTGGCTCAGTATCTACTATTTCAATTATTTCTTTAACCAAGGGCCTTATTCTTATTGAAATATGAAGAATCTGCAGAAAAAGAAATGAGGCACAGAGTAGCACATGTAAAGAAAGCAGAATGAATGTCCCTGTGCTTCCTTACTAGATCATGTTCTTTTTTCAACTGAGTTATCTAAATTATGCATTAGTGTATGAATCACTAATTTTTCACTAAGCACTCATCTTAACTGTTCTAGTCAATACAATAAAAGGGTCAGTAAAGTTTTTAAAGAGAAAAAATATGAAAGTAGCTTCATCAGAGGACAGCAAGAATAAACATTTAATTTGGGTCAATCCATAGTACTTTTGTGAAGAAAGTAGCACAGAAAATAGCACATATATTGGTTGGAAAACTACTAATCAACTCTTAGAGTTGTATAGTATTAATTATTTTCTCTTGAAAATCTCTATAAGAGATAACACCTAAAATACTATGAAAATCACATATTTAAATTATGAACTCTAGCAAAAATTTCACATATACTTCCTAAACACTTGTTTTTAAAATTACAAAATAAACACTTCCAAAGGAAAACAGGCCGTATCCTTTCTAGGGAACAGAGTGACTTCATTTAATCACTGAATCAATTTTTCAGAAAAAGTTAGGTTCTATCAAAAAAGAATGAATATCTGGAAAGGAATTACCATCAAATCACTGTATTGTATCTAATGTTCTATGTATCAGAAGTGGTGGTTACCCAGGGTATTGACAGCTGAAATGCTTGCAACTATATCATCATTCATTCATTCTGCTTCTTTCTGTGATGACTAAAAAACTCAAGGACCTAGATTCTGGCATACATGTGCAATACTGACCCAAAGCAGTAACTGCAGTCTTTTCCTTAGATGAAACCTGTTGTAGGATACTTGAATGCCTTCTCACTGCTGGTTTCTTAAGTTCCGAGATAGTAGAAATATCACTTTTATCCAGAGACTTACTGAGGTTTGTAATACTCTTGAAGCTTTGTGGTTTAGACTTCGATTCATGAATTTCATCCTTCTCTAAATGTTTTCTAAAATTTAGTTCATTCTTGGAATTTGGTTCCTGGAATCCTACATCACTACTGTCAATTCCATCCAGAAATTTTCTTATTTGCAAAGTACTTTTCGGTCTTTTCAATTCAAGGTCATCACTCTCTTCTTTAATTTTACTATGTAGATGTTGAAGGTTTTTTTTATTTAGCCTTTTGGATACTGAAGATTCAGGTAGTCTGGGAGATAAGCTGCTTTTCTTCCTATATTGTAGATAGCCTTCTGCTACATTTGATAACTTTCTGTCTGATGTGTCATCCAAGGCTGACCCTTCCATAATTGCTAAGTAAGACAAATATATTCAGTTATTTCATTCACCTTCACAATTTGTAATAGATTTCAAAAATATTAACTAAAAACGATATTTTTAAAATGACAACTAAGTTATAGTAAGTAGGCATTATTCACAATAGCCACAATATAAAATCAACTGCCTATCAATAGATGAATAGATAACTAAAATGTAGCATATATAACAGAATATTATACAACCATTAAAAGAAGAAAATCCTGTCATTTGAGACACTGATGAACCTAGAGAATATTATCTGAAATGGAATAAACCAGGCACAGAAAAACAAATAGTGTGTGTTATTTACATGGTAGATCTAAAAAAGTTTATTAATTTTAAAAAGTAGAAAGTAAAATGGAGGATATACCAGGGGCTGGGATCAGGGAGGGGTTGGGGAGATGCTTATAAGAATACAAAATTTCAGTTAAACTCAAGAGTAAGTTTAAGAGATGTATTGTAAAACATTGTGACTCTAGTTAATAACAATGATTGTATTTTTGAAAATTTATACACAAAAAATTGTTATAACAATTATAGTTCACTTACAAACATCCTCATACTGCTGCAGTAGCTCATTCAAAGTAAATACAATATCTCCAATATCCACCATGTGGTTATCTGTAATAGAGAGAATAACTTCAAATACTCAATTTACTTTTGAACACAGATTATAACTGCAATCCTATTCTAATATTAAAACAACACAGAAATATGTGGAAATAGGAACAGAAAGCCAAGTATTATGAGTTTTTAATAATACCTAGAATGGTGGATTATTAAGTAAGCACATGCTGAAACATAAGACGAAGACTATAGTTTTTTCTTTCATAAGAGTTTCCCATTTTAAGCACCCATGCTAGATTATAGGCATGAGGATGAGTTCAGATTTAATGACCTTGAATAACTGTGCACAGAGGTAGAAAATGCTTTGTCCAATAGTTCTTTCCTCCAAGTATTTGACTTTACTGACTGTCCAAAGTGACAAAGATTGGAAATTGACTTACCTACCAATAATAATTCTGGGTTTGCTCTTTAGTCTAGTCATAAGAAAACAACTATTCAATACAATAGTTGCCTTTTATTTGTAATTTTTCTTTCTGCAGTTTCAGTTACCCATGATAGAGCACATTATAAAATGTTAAAAGGGAAACTGCAAAAATGAACAATTCTTAACTTTCAAATTGTGCACAATTCTGAACAGTGTGAGAAAACCTCATACTGTGCCAGCCTATTTCTTCACCAAAAGGAAAAGTGGAAGCACAGTACAACAAAATATTTTGAGAGAGAGGCTATAGTCACATAGGTTTTATTATAGTACATGCCTATAATTGTTCTTTCATTTTAAGTTATTGGTGTTAATCTCTTGCTGTACCTAATTTATAAATTAAACTTTACCCTAGATACATATGTATAGGTATAAACATAGTATCCATAGGGTTCAATACTATCCATGGTTTCAGAGATTCATAGAGGGTCTTGGAAGATATCACCCACAAAAAAGGGGAGGGGAGTGGTTTACTGCAGTATGCATAAATGAAGACTCTAAGAGAAAAATACAAGTTTTTAAAGTGACTTCTGAATCAAAGAATTAAATTATATACAGTATAGTTTTGGTGTTGGCTGAGTTTGATTCACTTCTAGCATTCCT